CGGGGCGGCTAACATGAGGCCAAGCCCGACAAATACAATAAACAAAATAAAACACATACAGCAGATAATATAGAATGTAAATGTATAAGACGGGACAAAGGAAGGCAATAAAGAAAAAGAAGTGAGAGAAAGAAAAGGAGAAGGGAGAGAAAGAAGGATAGATTGTGAGGACTACAGTCCAGAAAACAATTTGTGCCGTTCCATATACATATTAGGGATGTGCAAAACAATCGGTTCTGCATCGTATGTCGGATCTATTTCGTAAGATTCCTACGTACGATGCGATATTAAGAAACACAGCCTTAATAAGGTGTCCGAAACAGATAAATGTTCTCCATCACAAAGACTTATACTGGGCAAAGTGTATCCGTTGAATCACATCCCCACAATAATTGAAAACCCTCTGAACGTTTTCTGCATCCACTGCACATGTAAAGTGAGCATAGTAGCTGTGCTTGTCATGAAAACGCATTCTAAGAAATTCATCTCTGATAAAATACTTGGCTCTTGTAACTCTGCGATCCTCACCAGGCTCCGGCATTGCGTCCTCGGGGGTGGTATAGTGAGCAAAGTGTGGAAAGTAGTCTTCCAGTTTATATTTCCCTGCCAAGACTTTCTCAGCTAGCAAATCCTGTTTGTTCAGGAAAACAATGAACGTCATGGTCTGTAGCCATGGACTGAAAAGCATCTTCATCTCTCTGTTGCACAAGACATAATTGAATATCTGTAATTCCTCCTTAAGCTTGTTAGCCTCATCCATCCATGGAATAGTCCGTAAGTTGTAGCTACTGCTGTCCACCATGAAGAGAATAGCCGTCAAATTATCAAAATGATGTACCCACCTTTGGCGATGCTGTATCCCATAAAAAAGAAACAGATGCAAATATACTTTGCCCACTTGAAACTTGGCTTCAGGGATCCTGGATGGTCGAAAGTTGCATCGGAGAAGATCCTGGTCAGATGGCGTATATTCCTCTTGCTTGATGATGTCCAGCTTGTCTAGAAAATACTGTGCACAACCAATCAAGCAATACAAATGAGAACGCTCAAAGCAAGCTTTCACGCCTTCGTCCTGCCAAAGGGCTTTCGTATGTTCATAGAACTCGGGTGGGAAGTCGAAATCCGGCTGGCTGGATACATTCAAAATATAGTCAATGCGGAACTGGTTCTCTGGGTTCGCCAGCTCCACTGGAGGTTCCAGGCGCCCCATGGCTCTGACTATTGTCTCTATAGCTTCCCTAATATTGTTTTTGATGTCCTGGGTTCTCATTTTCCTCTCCTCGGCACTAAATCCATCCCCATGCAAGATTTTCATTTGCTTGAGCACGGTGTTTTTGCCAGATCCCTCAAGGCCCATCAAGAGGAGACGGTGCGTGGTCTGAAAGACTTGCTTGTCCTTCTCCAGTTGCTTCTCAATCTTTTCATGGGCCTCTCTCCGCTCCTTCTCTTCCTTGCGCTCCTCCCCAATCTTTCTGTTCCCAAAACAGCTCATTTTGGGTGGCGGAATGAAGATTTTGTGAGGAAGGAAGGGAAGGAGGGCTCTAGCTAATGGGAGAAAGGAGCAGGAGGCCAAGCTGGAGCAAGAGGGACAGAGGCAGAAAGAGAGAGAGAAAGTAGGAAGGGAGGGAGGGAGCGTGGGAGAGGGAGTGTCTCTCTTCTTCTCTTCCTCTTCATTTTGGCCTTTTACTGACTCAATGTCGAAATACAAGGAGGGAAAAGAAAGGAGATGAAGGGAAGGAGCAGGGAGGGAGGGGGGATGTCTTCAAGGCTGCAGCTCAAGCTGAGTTACTGATATGATTTAAAAACAAACCAAATAGATTTTGCAAGCCTTATTTTATGAAAGTGTGTCCTTATGTATACCTTTTTCCCGTATATACCAACATTATCTGAGTGTTGGATGGGCAACCTCACCCCTGCTTTCATTCCTTCTTTCTTTTTCTTTCCTCCCGTCAGCTGATACGATTTGTTCTTTCCTTCCTTCCCTCCTTTTCCTTTCATCCTCTTCCTTCCCTCCCTCTTCCATTTCCTTTCCTTCTGATGCAGAGCATGATTTTATGGGGCCCTGCCTGAGCAGAGGCTGGCAAGACCCAAAAAGAGGATCCGCTACACCTGGCGAGACAATAAGCACCAATGAAAAAGTTTCCCTATTTCCCAATAAATCTCACCAGGATGAAACAAGACCACTAAGGTTTATTTTCTGTTCCTGCTGGAAATGTAAATATCTGATATGTGGGATGTATTTCATTCATTGGACCAAATTGGGCACAAATACCCGATACACCCAAATTTGAATACGGGTGGGGTTGCAGGGTGGGGATTGATTTTGTCATTTGAGAGTTGTAGTTGGTGAGATTTATAGTTAATCTACAATTAAATAGCATTCTGAACTCCACCAATGATGGAACTGAACCAAACTTGGCACACAGAATTCCCATGAATAAGAGAAAATACTGGAAGGGTTTGGTGGGCATTGACCTTGAGTTTTGGAGTTGTAGTTCACCTACATCCAGAAAGCACTGTAGACTCAAACAATGATGGATCTGGAGCAACCTTGGCACAAATACTGAGTATGCCCAAATGTGAATACTGGTGGAGTTTGGGGAAAATTGAACTTGACGTGTGGGAGTTGTAGTTCCTGGGATTTATAGTTCACCTATAATCAAAAAGCATTCGGAACCCCACCAGCGATAGAATTGGGCCAAACTTCCCACACAAAATGTCCATGACCAGCAGAAAATACTGTATTTTCTGATGGTCTTTAGCGACTCCTCTGACACCACCTCACGACACACACCCCCCCCCCACGGGTCCCGACCCCCAAGTTGAGAAACACTGTTCTATTGTTTAGGTAGAATCTCTATTCCCATAAACTAAATCCACCCATTTCTGATCTGCGATTTCTCCATCTTCTACATTATATTGTATTAGGAATTATAAAAGGGCGATCAGGTTCCCTCTGAGCCTAAACATATCCTAAAGCCATTCAGCTTCTCCAGTCATACCTCATAGAGCTTGGTTCCCAGACCTTTTGTCATTTTTGGTGGCCCTTATTTTTATTTATTTATTTCAAATATTTGTACCCCGCCCTTCTCTACCCCCGAAGCGGGATTCAGGGCGGCTTACAGCCAGCAACAATTTGATGCCCTCCATATACAAACAGCTAAAACAACAGTTACATAATAAGTTAAACATTTGCACCATTTAAAATAGTGCAAATTGAATTAGTTGGTCATGTCTAAATCCAAGTTCTACGATCAACAACTTAATCTGAAGCCTGCAGTCCATTTTCCATAGCATTGTTGTCATTTTATTGTCAGCCTGCTATCCAAATGCCTACCTGGATTTCTGGTCCCATAGCCACGTCATCAACTTTTTCCTGAAGGAAAGGGAAGCCGTTAACTTAAGTTTGCTGGGGAGCGAGTTCCACAGGCCAAGAAGGCCCTGTCCTTCGTCCCCACCAAGCACATTTGCGACAAAGGTGGGATTGAGTGCAGGGCCTCCCTGGAAGATCGTAAGTTTTGAAGTGGGACATAGGGAGAGATACCTTCAGACAAGTAAGCTAGGCCAGAACCATATAGGGCTTTATAGATCAAGACCAGCACTTCGAATTGTGCTCAGAACTGGACCGTCAGCCAATGGAGCTGACATAACAGGGGGGTGCTATGCTCCCTGTATGTCACTCCAGTAAGTAATCTGGCTGCCGCCCATTGGACTAGTTAAAGTTTCTGAACAGTCTTCAAAGGCAGCCCCCACGTAGAGCGTGTTCAAGTAATCTATTCAGGATGTAATGAGAGCATAGAACATTGTGGCCAGATTAGACTTCCCAAGGTACAGGCGCAGTTGGCGCACAAGTTTGAGTTGTGCAAAAGCTCTCCCAGCCACTGCTGAAACCTGGAGTTCCAGGCTCAGCGATGAGTGCAGGATCATTCCCAAGCTGCGAACCTGTGTCTTCAGGAGGAGTGTAACCCCATCCAACACAGGCTGTAACCCTATGCCGTTTGGCCTTTTGACTGACCAGGAGGACCTCTGTCTTGTCTGGATTCAGTTTCAATTTGTTAGCTCTCATCCAGTCCGACACAGCAGAGGTCCAGCAGAACCAACAGGGACACACTCCCCCTGTCTAGCTCCCGGTATACATCATGTATCAAGGCGACCAAGGCTGTTTCAGTGCCATGTCCCAGCCTAAAGCCAGACTGTGCCAGGTCCAGATAATCAGTGCCTACCAGAAACCCCTGGAGTTGCAAAGCCACCCACCTTCTCTGGGTGCCTTCCAGCTCATCCCGATCCCTCTTGAATGGTGATGCCCGGAACTGGACACAGGACTATTGCAGGTAAGGTCAGACCAACGCAGAATGGAATGAAACTATATCATTTGTCTGTATCCGGACACTATATATTGCTGATGACTTTTTAGGCTGCTGTAAGACATCGTTGGAAGATACAAACAGAATTCTATACTCACTGGGACACACTTTCATACAATAAGGCTTGCAAAGTCAATTTGGCTTAGTTCTTGTGGGTTTTTTCGGGCTATATGGCCATGTTCTAGAGGCATTTCTCCTGACGTTTTGCCTGCATCTATGGCAAGCATCCACAGGATGCTTGCCATAGATGCAGGCGAAACGTCAGGAGAATGCCTCTAGAACATGGCCATATAGCCCGAAAAAACCCACAAGAACTTAGTGATTCCAGCCATGAAAGCCTTCGACAATACATTCAATTTGGCTTGTTTTTAAATCGAATCAGTAGCTCAGCTTGAGCTGCAGCTCCAAAGTCATCACTCCCTCCCTCTCTGTCCTTCCTTTGGTTCCCCCTCTTTCCCCCTCCTTGTCTCTTGGCAGTGAGTTAGTAAAAGGCCAGAATGAAGAGGAAGAGAAGGAGAGAGAGAGACACTCCCTCTCCCACCCTCCCTCCCTTCCTACTTTCTCTATTTCTCTCTGTCTCTCTCCCTCTTCCTCCAGCTTGTCTTCCTGCTCCGTTCTCCCATTAACTGAAGCCCTCCTTCCCTTCCTTCCTCTCAAAATCTCCATTCCGCCAACCAAAATGGGCTGCTTTGGGAACAGAAAGACTGAGGAGGAGCGCAAGGAAGAGAAGGAGCGGAGAGAGGCCCATGAAAAGATTGAGAAGCAACTGGAGAAGGACAAGCAAGTCTTTCAGGCCACGCACCGTCTCCTCTTGATGGGCCTTGAGGGATCTGGCAAAAACACCGTGCTCAAACAAATGAAAATCTTGCATGGGGATGGATTTAGTGCCGAGGAGAGGAAAATGAGAACCCAGGACATCAAAAACAATATTATGGAAGCTATAGAGACAATAGTCAGAGCCATGGGGGACCTGCAACCTCCAGTGGAGCTAGCAAACCCAGGGAACCAGTTCCGCATTGACTATATTTTGAATGTATCCAGCCAGCCAGATTTCGACTTCCCACCCGAGTTCTACGAACATACGAAAGCACTTTGGCAGGACGAAGGGGTGAAAGCTTGCTTTGAGCGTTCGCACGAGTATCGCTTGATTGGTTGTGCACAGTATTTTCTAGACAAGCTGGACATTGTCAAGCAAGAAGGATATACACCATCCGACCAGGATCTTCTCCGATGCAAATTTCAGACATTTGGGATCCCTGAAGCCAAGGTTCAAGTGGGCAAAGTATATTTGCATCTTTACATTCAGAGATTTGTTGATGAGCGCCGAAAGTGGATTCAGTTTTTTGATAATTTGACAGCTGTTCTCTTCATGGTGGACAGCAGTAGCTACAACTTACGGACTTTGCCGTGGGATAACAAGGGTGTCAAGCTTCAGGAGGAATTACAGGTACTCCAAAAAGTCTTGTGGAGCCCACGGTTGAGGATGCTTTTCAGTCCTGGGCTGCAGACCTTGTCGTTCATTGTTTTCCTGAACAAACAGGATTTGCTAGCAGAGAAAGTCTTGGCAGGGAAACATAAACTGGAAGACTACTTTCCACACTTTGCTCTCTATACCACACCCGACGACGCAATGCCGGAGCCTGGTGAGAATCGTCAAGTTACGAGGGCCAAGTATTTTATCAGAGATGAACTTCTTAGAGGGTGTTTTCATGACAAGCACTGCTTCTATATTCACTTTACATGTGCTGTGGATGCAGAAAACGTTCAGAGGGTTTTCAATGATTGTGGGGATGTGATTCAACGGATACAGTTTGGCCAATATAAGTCCTTGTGATGGAGGGCATTCCTGTGTTTTGTATTCCTTGTTAAGAAAAGAAAAAAGAGAACCCTTGCCCACATAAAGTGGAAGAGAACAATGGCAACCTCCCTCTTATTTGCACTCCTGAACTTTTCCTCCTTCCTGGACAAAGAGCACCATTTCAAAGCTTCAAACCATTGTAATGTCAAAGGCCATCTTTGCAAGGAGCAGGTGAGTTTACCTTAACACTGTCATTACATACCAAACCAAATAATAATCATAGAATTATAGAATCCTAGAGTTGGAAGAGACCTCATAGGCCATCCAGTCCAACCTCCCTCCAAGAGGCAGGAAAATCGCATTTAAAGCAGTTTAACCTATGTTGATCAGGCTTGTCCCCATGTAAGCCACCTTGAGTCCCTTCAGGGAGAAGGAGATGGGATACAAAATTTATTATTATTATTATTTGAAACTCAACAAGATGAGTCCACAGCAAACAAGATCACTCTGCTGGCTCTTGTATTGGATCACACATTGGACATTTGCCAAGTGTTTAGGACTGTGGGATGTATTGATGAATAATGCATACAGATCCCAGTAAGGTGGCCGCCTGCAGCTGGCAGGTGGTAATTTTGTCACCGCCAATTGTGTTTAAGTGCAGGCCAAGGTCTTTAGGAACTGCACCACTTGTGCCAGAATCTTTGAAGTTCGATCTTTAAATTATTATTATTCTGACACAAAACCACAGTATGTCACAGCAAACGAGATCTATATGTTGGATGTCATATCATAAAATCACAAGTCAAACATTTCCCAAGTGTCTAGGACTGTGTGATGTATTTTTGAATGATGCACACAGATCCAAGAAAGGTGGCCTTTTGCAGTTAACAGATCATGATTTTGTCAATGTTTATTGTTTCCAAATGCTGGCTGAGATCTTTTGGCATGGCACCCAGTGTGCCCATTACCACTGGGACCACCTGTACTGGTTTATGCCAGAGCCTTTGCAATTCAATTTTGAGGTAAGGATAACGGCTGCGTTTTTCTTGTTGTTTTTCCTTAATATGACTGGTATGGCGACATCAATACTCTAAACTTTTTTTCTTTTCCACAATCGTGATGTCTGGCGTATTATGTTCCAAAACTTTGGATTCGAAAGTCCCACAGTATTTTTGCGTGTTCATTTTCCACTACCTTTGCAGGTTTATGATCCCACCAGTTCTTTACTGCTGGCAGGTGGCACTTGTGACATAAGTTGCAATGAATCTTTTGGGCCACAGAGTTGTGCCTCTGTAGTCTGTCTGTGCGATTTTCGTGCAGCAGCTGAGGATAGGATCAAGGGTTTCATCAGCTTCTTTGCACAGTCTGCATTTTGGGTCATCAGCTGATTTTTCAATCCTGGCCTTTATCATTATCATTATCATTATTATTATTAATAACAATAATCTTTTGGGATGTTTTCTGCATGACTAGAGGCTGCACTACAAGCATCACTTACTGCTTTTCGATGGTGTGCCTTCAATCATTTTGATAACCAGAACTGATCTACTCAAGACGTGTTGCATTCTGTCAAAGGGCTGACTTCTTGCCTTTTGCCACTCTTTTCAGAAAAGGGGACAATTCCTTCTTTTTAGTAGGAACTAAGATACTAAGGAGGCCCTGGTGGCGCAGTGGGTTAAACCACTGAGCTGCTGAATTTGCTGAGCAAAAGGTCAGCAGTTCAAATCCAGGGAGCAGGGTGAGCTCCCGCTGTTAGCCTCAGCTTCTGCTAATCTAGCCGTTCTAAAAAACATGAAAATGTGAGTAGATCACTTCTGTGCGAAGGTAACGATAATCCATGCTGTCATGCTGGCCACATAACCTTGGAAGTGTCTACGGAAAACGCCACCTCTTTGGCTTAGAAACGGAGATGAGCACCACCCCTGAGAGTCGGACACGGCTGAACGTAATGTCAAGGGGAAACCTTTGCCTTTACCTAAGATATAGTTCTCACATTGTCCCATGGACAAGTTGAACCAGTTTTTGGATGGATGTTTGGACTAAAAATCTAAGCTTATCCATGAGTGTATAGGGTACCCCACATTTTAATCAGGTTTCTCTTTCTCCCTATTGCAGGAGTCTCGGGCAGAGAGAACCAAGAGGAAGAAGAAGTCAAGAGGTCTGCAGCAGCTGAATGACTTAATATGGGAGAGATGTCTGCAGTTCGGGATGACCAAAAAAGGCAAGAGACAGATGAAGAAGAGCAGAGCAGTGAATCCATTCCCAACAAAGGTGTAGAAGTCTGTGAAATCTCAGCCCCGAAAGAGACCCAGGGGGAAAAGAAAGAGAACAAATGCCCAGCCTGTGACAAAAGCTTTTGTACAAAGTCCCGTCTTCACGTTCACTAGAGAATCCACACAGAGACGAGACCGTACACATGCCTGGATTGTGGGAAGGGCTTCAGTAAAGTGGGCACCTTCCTCAGCACCAGAGGAGGCACACGGGAGAAAGTCAGAACACATGTTTGGAGTGTGGCAAGAATTTCAGCTAGAGCGTGTACTTAATCCTACACAAGATTACGCACACGGGAGAAAAGCCCTTTACCTGCTTTGAGTGAGGAAAAAGCTTCAGTCACAGCAACATTCACACAAGGAAGAAGCCCTACAAGTGCCAGGACTGTGGGCAGAGCTTCAGCCAGAGCACACATTTGACTCCACACAGGGGAGAAGCCCTACAAGTGCATGGAGTGCGGGAAATGCTTTAACCAGAGCCCACACCAGACATTACATCGGAGGATCCACACGGGGGAGAGACTGTATTGGTGCCTGGAGTGTGGAAAGGGCTTCAGTCAGAGTCTGCACCTTATGTTGCATCAGAGGATTCACGGCGATGAGAAAACGTACAAGAAAGAGCTTTCTCCTGAGCGACCACCTGGCTGCTCACCTAAGGAGCCACACAGGGGAGAAACCATTGCAGTGCTCATGAGCCAACGATGTGATGTTGCAGCTAAAAAAGCCAATGGGATTTTGGCCTGCATCAATAGGAGTCTACTGATCCAGGGAAGTCATGCTACCCCGCTATTCTGCCTTGGTCAGACCACACCTGGAATACTGTGTCCAAGTCTGGGCACTACAATTTAAGAGAAATATTGACAAGCTGGAATGTGTCCAGAGGAGGGTGACTAAAATGATCAAGGGTCTGGAGAACAAGCCCTATGAGGAGCGGCTTAAGGAGCTGGGCATGTTTAGCCTGCAGAAGAGAAGACTAAGAGGAAACATGATAAGGGTCATGTATAAATATGTGAGAGAAAGTCATAGGAAGGAGGGAGCAAGCTTGTTTCCTGCTGCCCTGGAGACTAAGACGTGGAACAATGGCTTCAAACTACAGGAAAGGAGATTCCACCTGAACATTAGGAAGAGCTTTCTGACTGTGAGAGCTGTTCAGCAGTGGAACTTTCTACCCTGAAGTGTGGTGGAGGCTCCTTCTTTGGAGGCTTTTGAACAGAGGATGGATGGCCATCTGTTGGGGGTGCTTCGGATGCAATTATCCTGCTTCTTGGCAGACGGTTGGACTAGATGGCCCACGAGATCTCTTCCAACTCTATGATCCTATGAATGCAGAAAGAGTTCCAGCTGAAGCGTAATGCTGATCAAACATCAGAGACCGCACAAAGCTGAGGAAACTCCTTTGTGAGTGCAGATGCCCCAGCCTTGGAAACATGGGGCATCTACACTATAGAACTGATGCAGTTTCACACCACTTGGATTGCCATGGCTCCATGCTATGGAACCATTGGAGTTGTAGTCAGAGGCGGCCCTAGGTAATTTTCAATGGCAAACAGTATTTTGCACCCCCCCCCCCCCCCCAACCAATCACTGATATATATTTTCTGTTCGTCGTGGGAGTTCTTGTGTCCATATTTGGTTCAATTCCATCATTGGTGGAGTTCAGAATGCTCTTTGATTGTAGGTGAACTATACATCCCAGTAACTACAACCAGAGGTGGCCCTAGGTAATTTTCAATGGTAAGCAAACAATATTTTGCTCCCCCCCACCCAACCAATCACTGATATATATTTTTTGTTCAACGTGGAGTTCTGTGTGTCATATTTGGTTCAATTCCATCATTGGTGGAGTTCAGAATGCTCTTTGATTGTAGGTGAACTATACATCCCAGTAACTACAACTCGCATATGTCAAGGTCTATTTTCCCCCAAGAGCGCCTCAAGAGCGCCCCTGGGCAAAATCAACTATACTGCAAAGGCTTACTTTGCGTAATGGGTTGAGCCGCCCCTGACTACAATTCACATATGTCAAGGTCTATTTTCCCCCAAGAGCTCCTCAAGAGTGCCCCTGGGCAAAATCAACTATACTGCGAATGCTTATTTTGCGTAATGGGTTTAGCCGCCCCTGGTTGTAGTTTTCCAAGGTTTTTGTCCTTCTTTGCCAAATAGTGCAGGTGACTCGCCAGACTACAACTCCCAGGATCCCATAGCATTGATTTCTATCTTTTCCACTGATGGGCAGCTTTATCAAAGCTATAAGGCAGTGTTTTTAATACCATGTGTTGCAATGTATTAGTGTGTCACGCAAACATAAGCCAAACCTGTGTGAAATAAGCAATAAATCATATATTGTGAAAAATATTAAAGAAAGGTTTTGAAGAGATATGTTGTGTCCCCATACATTATATTACTGCAATTTATGTATGTGTCTAAATCTCTTAGGCGGCGTTGATTGGTTTAACCTCCAGTTTGCAAGTAAAACTATTGCTGTGTTGCAAATCATCCATGATTTAAAGGTGAGACACTAACATGAAATGTTTGAAAACTCTGCTATAATCCTTTCCCAAAACGTGGCTCTGCATTTGGTGGAGTGGTCTTCCTTTGGACCTCCGACTAGAGCACTGGTTCCCAACCTTTTTTTGACCAGGGCCTAGTCTCCAACATTAGTACCAAAAGGGTTACAAATCAATGTATTGTCGAAGGCTTTCATGGCCGGAATCACTGGGTTGTTTTAGGTTTTTTTCGGGCTATATGGCCATGTTCTAGAGGCATTCTCTCGTGACGTTTCGCCTGCATCTATGGCAAGCATCCTCAGAGGTAGTGAGTTGAGGATGCTTGCCATAGATGTAGGCGAAACATCAGGAGAGAATGCCTCTAGAACATGGCCATATAGCCCGATAAAACCTACAACAACCCGGTTACGAATCAGTTTTTGGTCAACTTTAGATTTGGTTTGGTTATTCAGGGTGCTGATTCAGAAAATTGCATTGGATAGACCACATCAGCTCTAGTTTCTGACACAGAACATATGCCATGGTCAGCAACAGGGAAGGAGTGGCAGGCGGTGCAAAAAATAAAATAAATAAATAAAGAGGAAGGAGGCTCACGAACCAGATTTTCATCATCACGGCCCACTGGTGGCCTGCAACAGCTGACTTTTCTATGTGACATATACTTTAAGCCCAGCGGGAAGCCAGGGGGCCTCAAAGAGAGGTTCTCAGGGATTTTTCTGAAGTGATGGTCTTTAGAGTCTTTAATGGTACAACAAAGTCTTTATTATGGAACAAATAACAAATCTTCAAACAACACTTGAAGGCTTTCTTATTCTAGTCCTTAAGAGACTGGCAACTGACTTAGATTAACTGTACTTTCTCTGCATGAGGAAAACCCTTTATAACCTCTCCCAGGCTGTCTATCATCTGGGCCTCATTGGTGTGGGTCTTACTACCGATTCCAAATGCGTCTGGACATTGAGTAAACCTACCAGCCAAGGCTTGGAGATGTTTGAGTTGGGGTTCGCAGATCTGTAATGTTGTTCTCCCTCCGAGAGATCTTTGGAAACTTCAGGGCTGTTTCCCTCTGATGCTGTGAGGCTGAGAGGCTGTGAGCTCTCAGCCAGAGCCTTTGGGACCTTTCCCCTCTGTTTCTGTTGGAATTTCTGTAACCCTGGATGTTCTGTTTCTATTTCCTTGGATGGTCTTGAGAAAAGAAGCTTTTCTATGGGACGAGCTGGTCTACGTCCTATAGTCTAGCTTCCTTATGTGAGACTGCCCAAAATGGTTCCTTTCCCTCCCAGAGCCCTGAACAGGGGGCAGAATCAAAGCTTAATGATGATAGACAGGTGGCCTATCCTATAACTGCAAATTTTAACAGGGGGAAAATAAAGTCGGAGCTTCTGGTACAGCCGTACCAGAACAGTCCCAACCAATTTAGGAAATATACATAAATGAGAAGATGGGATCATAAACACCAATGTGTACCTTCATGCGATTCTGTCACCAACAAAACTGTCAACTGCCCAAACTGCTTATAAGAGGTTGTTGTGGTATTTTTGGGCTATATGGCCATGTTCTAGAGGCGTTCTCTCCCGACGTTTCACCTGCATCTATGGCAAGCATCCTCAGAGGTAGTGAGGTCACTACCTCTGAGGATGCTTGCCATAGGAGCAGGCGAAACGTCAGGAGAGAACGCCTCTACAACATGTCCATATAGCCCGAAAAAACCACAACAATCCAGTGATTCTGGCCATGAAAGCCTTCGACAATACAATGCTTATAAGAGATTTATTCATCAACTCCATGATGAAATGGCAGGGACGGCATATACAGTGCAACCCCCTTATCAATGGATTCAATATCCACAGTTTCATTTATCCACTCTACAAAAAATATCCTCCCAAAGAGGTATTTGTGGATCTCCCTATGACCTCCGGTGCAGTTCTATAGTATGCTTCTACCCCAAGGACATTTTAAAATACAGGGTTCCCTATGATCCATGGTTTCAGGTATCCACAAAAGGGTCTTGGAACATACCCCTTGCAGATACAGAGGCCAGATCATAGATTAATCCAGCTATCCCTGGAAGCCAACCTGCATGAAGAGGAGGCAACCATGGAAGGCAAACTTCTGCTTTATTATTATTGTTATTACATTTATTATTTTACACTATTTATGATTATTATTATATTTATTACTTTACTTTATTATTATTGTATTTATTATTTTAGTCTATTATTACATTTATTATTCTACTCTATTATTACTGTTATTATTGCATTTCCATTATTTTACTTTATTATTATTATATTTAATATTTTACTCTATTATTGTTGGAAAGATACGTAAGTACATTTACATTGAAGATATGTAATGATTTAATCAGAGTTGGGCAGTTTTATCTCTAATTACAGTTTTATGTAAATATTAAAAAAATTTCACCTCCTGATGCCTCAATTAATGTAATTTTATTGGTATTTATTTTTATTTTGAAATTTACCTGTGGTGGCTACATTTCCCACCCCCAGTTTACACTCGAGTCAATATGTTTTCCCAGTTTTTTGTGGTAAAATTAGGTGCCTCAGCTTATATTCGGGTCAGCTTATACTCGAGTATATACGGTACATATTGGAGCTGTGCAAAACATCAGTTCTGCCTCGTATGTCGGATTTAGTTCGTAAGATTTCTACGTACAACGTGATATTAAGAAACATGGTGTTAATCAGGAATCCAGAACAGATAAACGTTCTCCATCACAATGACTTATACTGCCCAAAGTGTATCCGTTGAATCACTTTCCCACAATCATTGAAAACCCTCTGAACATTTTCTGCATCCACTGCACATGTAAAGTGAGTATAGTAGCTGTGCTTCTCATGAAAACACATTCTAAGAAATTCATCTCTGATAAAATATTTGGCCCTCGTAACTTGACGATCCTCACCAAGCTCCGGCATTGCGTCCTCGGGGGTGGTATAGTGAGAAAAGTGTGGAAAGTAGTCTTCCAGTTTATGTTTCCCTGCCAAGACTTTCTCTGCTAGCAAATCCTGTTTGTTCAGGAAAACAATGAACGTAAAGGTCTCTAGCCAAGGACTGAAAAGCATCTTCATATCTCTGTTGCACAAGACAAAATTGAATATCTGTAATTCCTCCTTAAATTTGTTAGTCTCATCCATCCATGGAATAGTCTGTAAGTTGTAGCTACTGCTGTCCACCATGAAGAGAATAGCCGTCAAATTATCAAAAAGATGTACCCACCTTCGGCGATGCCATCTCCCATCCAAAAGAAACAGATGCAAATATACTTTGTCCACTTGAAACTTGGCTTCAGGGATCCTGGATGGTCGAAAGTTGCATCGGAGAAGATCCTGGTCGGACGGCGTATATTCTTCTTGCTTGATGATGTTGAGCTTGTCTAGAAAATACTGTGCACAACCAATCAAGCAATACTCATGTGAACGCTCAAAGCAAGCTTTCACGCCTTCGTCCTGCCAAAGTGCTTTCGTATGTTCGTAGAACTCGGGTGGGAAGTCAAAATCTGGCTGGCTGGATACATTCAAAATATAGTCAATGCGGAACTGGTTCTCTGGGTTCACCAGCTCCACTGGAGGTTCCAGGCGCCCCATGGCTCTGACTATTGTCTCTATAGCTTCCCTAATATTGTTTTTGATGTCCTGCGTTCTCATTTTCCTCTCCTCGCCACTAAATCCATCCCCATGCAAGATTTTCATTTGTTTGAGCATGGTGTTTTTGCCAGATTTCTCAAGGCCCATCAAGAGGAGACGGTGCGTGGCCTTAAAGACTTGCCCGTCCTTCTTCAGTTGCTTCTCAATCTTCTTATGGGTTTTCCTCTGCTCGTTCCCTTCCTTGCGCTCGTCCTTAGTCTTTCTGTTCCAAAAATAGTCCATTTTGGGTGGCGGAAAGGAGATTTTGAGTGGAATGAAGGGAAGGAGGGCTCCAGCTAATGGGAGAATGGAGCAGGAAGCCAAGCTGGAGCAAGAGAGGCAGAGAGAGAAAGGAGGAAGGGAGGAAGAGTGGTAGAGGGAGTGTCTCTGTCTCTCTCCTTCTCTTCCTTTTCATTTTGGCCTTTTACTGACTCACTGCCCCGTGACAATTAGGGGGAAAAGAGAGGGAACGAAGGAAGGGAAGGAGCAGGGAGGGAGGGAGCCGATTCAATTTAAAAACAAGCCAAGTAGACAATGCAAGCCTTGTTTTATGAAAGTGTGCCCCTGTGAGTGTAGGGTTTGCATCTTCCAAAGAGCAAACAGGAGGGTGGCCAGACACGGTTCCCTGTAAACGCAAAGCAATCGCTAGGTAAAGGTAAAGGTTTTCCCCTGACATTAAGCCCAGTCGTGTCCGACTCTGGGGTGTGGTGCTCATCTCCATTTCTAAGCCGAATTGGCCGACGTTGTCCGTAGACACCTCCAAGGTCATGTGGCTTGCATGACTGCAAGGAGTGCCATTACCTTCCTGTTGGAGCGGTACCTATTGATCTACTCACATTTGCATGTTTTCGAACTGCTAGGTTGGCAAAAGCTGGGGCTGACAGCGGAAGCTTATGCCACTCCCCGAATTCGAACCTGCGACCTTTCGGTCAACAAGCTCAGCAGCTCAGCGCTTTAACCCACTGCGCCACTGGGGGCTCCAAAAGCAATTGCTACAAAAGGCACAAAACACGAAATTTCCAGCTGCTGGAATATCATGGCTTTGAGCGGAATATCCGCATCTTCGCAGAAGACGAGAACCAGTTGAGCCTGCTACCCAAAGCCAAATGCGAACAAGACGGAAACAAAGAACCAAATTCTCACAAGCAAAGGTAATTTGCTTAAACCAGGTTTGCCTAAATATGCAAAAGCACCATGTAGAGTTGTAGACATGGTCGGTCGGTCGGTCGGTCACTCGGAGCACTGATCTGAGAAAGTATCTTCATATGTGTTCCTGTGTGTTTACCACTGATTAACGTTTGTTGGTCTGAACATCTTCAAGGGGCAGAAGTAATTGGAAAAACTTTGCCAAATGTTATAGTCTGGAACGAAGGTTAACAGGGCTGAAAGATCCCCTCCCAGTGGGGTTGACAGGTTCCTAACCCAGTGGTGCTCAATCTGTGGGTCCCTAGATGTTTTTGTCCAGATCTGTAGCTTTCTAGCGAAATAATTTCCTCACAAACAAAGTTGGAAGGCCTAAAGCATGCATTAGGGAACGCAACAAAATTCCAACTGCCAGTTGATTTCTCTCGCGCCTTCTCTCCTTCACGCTGGACCCTCCCCTTCATTGCTCCCATTTCCATGGCAACCCTCACTCTTGTTTCAAATATACACAGGCCAGATCTAAGGCATGGCCTAATTTCCTGGATTCACACAAAACCAGGAAAGGTCATGACAGTTTTGGCCTTCAACTCCCAGAAATCATAAAATCAAAGAATCAAAGAGCTGGAAGAGACCTCATGGGCCATCCAGTCCAACCCCCTGCCAAGAAGCAGGAACACTGCATTCAAACCACCCCTAACAGATGGCCATCCAGCCTCTGTTTAGAAGCTTCCAAAGAAGGAGCCTCCACTACACTCCGGGGCAGAGAGTTCCACTGCTGAATGGCTCTCACAGTCAGGAAGTTCTTCCTCATGTTCAGATGGAATACTAACAGCTGGTAAACTGGTTTAGATTTCTGGGAGTTGTAGGCCAAAACACCTGGGGACCCACAGGTTCAGAACCACTGTCCTAACCTTACTCATCTTTTCCTCTTATCAGGCAATGGAGGAAAACTCATAGTTGCAGTAGACCCAATTGAGTATCTCCACTACTCTTTGGAGATAATATCCCTTTCCTCTAACAACCGCTTTTCCAGGTAGAAAATGGGCATTTTAGGACTCTTTGAGGCTACACAGAAGTCAAAGGAGAAAATGGTGGGGAAAATTTTTCACAGCTCTTTCCACTTTCCAAAAAATTTAATGAATACACTTTAAATAAATGAATACAGGATATATAGGAACAGTACATCTGTGCAAGAAATATGGGAAATAAAATAAGGCAACGAAGGAAACTGGCAACCAACACAGATGGGGAGGGGTGCTGTACCACCTTTTGCTTTGCCTGGGGTGCATCTACACAAAGCACGAGCAAACTTAGACTTCAACTCCCAGAATTCCTGACAGCCTCAGGTCCCTTCCTTTTCCCCCTCAGCCGCTTAAGCGGCTGAGGGGGAAAAGGAAGGGGCCTGAGGCTGATAGGAATTGTGTGAGTTGGGCCTGGAGGGTCCAAGTTTGCCCATGTCTGATCTACACTGTCAAATTCCACACTGGGCATTCACCACTGGAGAAATTATACTGTTTAGCCGGTATTGCATCACCTGACATCTGTCGGAAAGTAGCAGCCAGCAATGAAAGGACCAAGGCAGTGACATCTCCAGCCCATCCTCTGTCCAGATACCAGCCAGCATGCCAATGCCTTAAATCAAGAAATAGTTTTCTATCATCTACAGAGACACTCGCTGGAACACCTCAGCAAGCGAGAGTCCAAAAGTGGCAGGCTCAAACCCAGAATCTCAATCAATGGCTGATACCAAATGAGAGACTCCCCCCTGGGCCACAGAAGACTAGGCGACTCGGAAGGCGGTGAACAGACTGCGCTCTGGCACCATGAGATGCAAAGCCAATCTTAAGAAATGGGGCTACAAAGTGGAATCCACGACATGTGAGTGTGGAGAAGAGCAAACCACTGACCAACTGCTGCAATGCAACCTGAGCCTTGCCACATGCACAATGGAGGACCTTCTTGCGGCATCACGAGAGGCACTCCAAGTGGCCAGATACTGGTCAAAGGACATTTAATCAGCTACCAAGCTTGCAAACTCTGTTTTGTCTGTTTATTAAAAAAATTGTTAAAAATGTAATACAATTGTCTGGTTGACTACTGACATGATAAAAAAATAAATAAACCTCAGCAAGCAAGAATCCAAAAGTGGCAGGCTAAGACCCGGAATGTTCTGTTGTTATTGCTTTATGTTTTTCATTTTTCTTTGAGTGTTTTGTTATGCTGTTGTTGGGTTGAGGCCTTGGCCTTTGTAAGCCGCATCGAGTCTTTTGGGAGATGCTAGCGGGGCACAAATAAAGTTTAATAATAATAATAATAATAACCTCTGGGGAGGTCTTGCTCTTGGCCCTGCCTGTCTGAAACACCCTTGGCGGGGATGAGGGACAGGGCCTTCTCAGTGGTGGCCCCCTGCTTGTGGAATTCACTCCGCAAGGAAATCAGGTCATCGCCATCCCTCCTCGCCTTTAGAAAGAAGGTAAAAACATGGATGTGGTACCAGGTCTTTGGGTAATTAGGCGGAAATGACAATGACAATGTTGACAATGGTTTGGAAATTGATTATAGATAAGTTAAATGGAGTACTCAATCACAGAATTTGGCTAGATAATGGCCACCAGACTGGTAACAGTTTAGTAGATTGTAAGTATATTGTTTTAATGTTTTTAACTATTATAATTATTGGTAGTTGGTATTTTATTATGTGGCACTGAATTGCTGCCAACTGGAAGCTGCCCTGAGTCCGCTCCCCAGGAGGTGTTCGAAATAAATAATAAATAAATAAAATATCAGGCCATGGCTGATACTGACTGGGTACACAGAAAGCTGGGCGACCTGGAAGGCACTGAATCACTGAATCCAATACCATGAGATGCATCAAGAAATAGTTTTCTAAGATCTACAGAGACACTCGCTGGAACACCTCAGCAAGCGAGAGTCCAAAAGTGGCAGGCTCAAACCCAGAATCTCAACCAATGGCTGATACCAAATAAGAGACTCCCTCCTGGGCACACAGAAAACTGTGCGACTTGGAAGGCGCTGAACAGACTGCGCTCTGGCACCACGAGATGCAGAGCCAACCTTAAGAAATGGGGCCACCAAGTTGAGTCTGCGTCATGCGAGTGTGGAGAAGAGCAAGCCACCGACCACCTGCTGCAATGCAACCTGAGCCCTGCCACATGCACAATGGAGGACCTTCTTGCATCAACACCACAGGCACTACTGGTCAAAGGACATTTAGTATAATGCCAAGTTTTTAAACTTTGTGTTTTGAAATACATGATAGCTGTACCTTGGTTCGCTTCTGATGCGATGAATAAATAAAATACAGTCAAATTAATGCTGCTTGACACCACTTTAACTGCCATGGTTCAATGATATGGAATTATGGGAGTTGTACTTTTACAAGCTTCTCTGGTAACAAGTGCCAGTGCTTCAAATCTCAGGATTGCAGTTACACCCAGAACCATTGCAGTTAAGGTAGAGGTAAACTGTATTAATTCGACATTGTAGATCAAGCATGGGCAATTTTTGGCCCTCCAGGTGTTTTGGACTCCAACTCCCACAATTCCTAACAGTCTACCGGCTGTTAGGAATTGTGGGAGTTGAAGTCCAAAACACCTGGAGGGCCAAAAATTGCTCAGGCCTGGTGTAGATGCACCTTTAGTCAGCAACTCTTTGGAAGAGGTCTTTAAGCCCAATTTAGCCTCCTTTTAATTATGAAAACAACCATGTCGTAGTCCTTTTATACACCGATTTTTCATGTCATGATGTGGGGACTGCTGAAGGGAAGGAGAGGTCATTCACATCTTTACATGAGTGCTTTCTTCTGTGGCTGCTCCTTCTTCTGCTCTTGGTGGGCAGGCCTCTTCGGAGACCCGGGAGAGGTCCGACATCAAGATCAGATTGACACATTCAGGGCACTTCTCTGGATGCTCTGCGCTGGAGGAGAAGATCTTCCCGCAGTCGGCGCATATAAAGGAGTTCAGGCCCAGGTGGCTGCGCTGGTGCCGGATGAGGGCCGCCTTGGCCTTGAAGCAGCTCCCGCATTCGGGGCAGAGGTAGGGCTTCTCGGTGGTGTGGGTGCGCTCATGGGCGATGAGCTGGGAGCTCTCCCGGAAACACTTCCCGCAGCCCAGGCACATATAGGGCCTTTCGCCCGTGTGGGACCGCTCGTGGGCCACCAAGCTGGAGCGCTGGATGAAGCCCTTGCCACACTGGAGGCAGATGTAGGGCTTCTCGCCCGTATGGGTCCGCTCGTGCTTGCTGAGGCTCGACCGGACGCTGAAGCTCTTCTCGCAGTAGAGGCACTGGTAGGGCTTCTCGCCCGTGTGGGTCCGCTCGTGGGCGATGAGCTCCGAGCTCCAGTTGAAGCCCTTGCCGCACTCTATGCACTTGTGAGGCTTCTCGCCCGTGTGGGTCCGGATGTGGGCCATGAGGTGGGAGTTCTGGCTGAAGCTCTTCCCGCACTCAGAGCATGTGTAGGGCTTCTCCCCCGTGTGGATGCTCTGGTGGCGGATGAGGTCGGCGCTCAGGCTGAAGCCCTTGCCACACTCCAGGCACTTGTAGGGTTTCTCTCCCCGGTGGCTCTTCTCGTGGAGGACTAAGGTGGCCTTCTGGCTGAAGCTCTTGCCACATTCCAGGCAAGTGTAGGGCTTCTCCCCTGTGTGACTCCGCTCGTGGATGATGAGGCTTGAGCGCTGGTTGTAGCTCTTCTCGCACAGCAGGCACTTGTACGGCTTCTCCCCCGTGTGGGTCCGCTCGTGGAGCTGGAGGTGGGAGCTCTGGCTGAAGCGCTTGTCGCAGTGGGAGCACTTGAAGGGCTTCTCCCCCGTGTGAGTCCGCCCGTGCGTGTTCAGGGTCGAACGCTTCCCGAAGCTCTTGCCGCATTCGTTGCATTTGTACGGCTTCTCCACCACCGGCGGCGGGACTCCCAGTAGTGACGGACTCATCCCGAATGCCTTCGAGAGATCCGGACCCTTCCCCTGGAGGAAGCTCTGCTGGACTGCAAATTCGCTGAAGTCGAAGAAGCCTCCGCCAAATGGAATGGAGATCGAACCTCGGCTCTCCAGTGAGCCGCCCACAGATGCCCCGGCTTGGCCTTCGTCGGGGCAGAAGTTGACTTCGTCTCCACCCCACATCATCCTGTTCAGCTGCAGTCGCTCCGAACCTGCCAGCAAAGACGAGCCCTCGTTCTGGCCTAGCCAGCCAGCTGCAAAAGTCAAAAAGAATTTTAAAAAATCAAAATCACGCCTGGTGACAGTCAAGAGTCAAACTAGGCAAGGTGTGGACATCTCTCAAATCAACTGGGGGGGTCAAATGAGCCTCCATAACATGCCTTTGGAGAGTGACCATTTATCCTGTTTCTGTTTGCTCCGTCTATAGTGTTGCTCCTATGATACACTTTCCCCCGTCCTAAACTGAAAGCCTACCCCACTGTTTATCCTTTTTGGGCTCCCCTTAATTACATATTTCTATTCCTACTTCATCCAGGATTTTGTCATTTTACCTCATCCATTTGGCCTGCACATTCTATTTGATTTTATATTGTGTTAATTTGCTTTATTTATTTTATTTTGCTACTGTACGTATTTTATTCTGATGTAATTTTTTGTTGTCTGCATTCTTTATTTTATTTTGCTGTATTGTATCTTTGGGATTGACCTCATGTTAGCCTCCCCGGGTCCCCTTTGGGGAGATGGTGGCGGGATATAAATAAAGATTATTATTATTATTATTATTATTATTACTACTACTACTACTACTAGCCGTCCCCTGCCACGCATTGCTGTGGCCCACATGGGGGTTCTGTGTGGGAGGTTTGGGCCAATTCTATCGTTGGTGGGGTTCAGAATGCTCTGTGATTGTAGGTGAACTACAAATCCCAGCAACTACAGCTCCCAAATGTCAAGATTCTGGCTTGTTGTAGGTTTTCCAGGTTATATATGGCCATGTTCTCTTTTTTCCCCAAAACTCCACCAGTGTTCACATTTGGGCATATTGAGTATTTGTGTAGAGTTTGGTTCAGATCCATCATTGTTTGAGTCTACAGTGATCTCTGGATGTAGGTGAACTACAACTCCAAAACCAAAGGACACTGCCCACCAAACCCTTCCAGTATTTTCTGCTGGTCATGGGAGAACTGTGTGCCAAGTTGAGTTCAATTTCATCGTTGGTGGGGTTCAGAATGCTCTTTGATTGTAGATGAACTTTAAATCCCAACAACTATAAATCCCAACAACTCCCAAATGACAAAATCTTTTTTTTTTTTGAGTAAAGGACATACATTGGGTTGTTAGGTGTCTTGTGTCCAAATTTGGTGTCAATTCATCCAGTGGTTTTTTAGTTCTGTTAATCCCACAAACGACATTACATTTTGATTTATATAGATTATTATGATTACAACTACAACTATTTTTTCTTTATTATCTATCCCTTCTTACGACTTGAGACAGTGCACAACACAGATAAAATACATACAGTATATACTCAAGTATAAGCCGAGTTTTTCAGCCCTTTTTCAGGCTGAAAGAGCCTCCTTCGGCTTATATTCAAGTCAACAACTTATTCAGAGTTCATTCTAAAGTGGGGAGGAAGGGCAAACCTCCTCTGCGACAGGATGTGCCTTCCTTGAGGCAACCAGGGAGGGGAACCCTGCTTAGTGCAGCCACCCAAACCTCCAGCCCAGCCCTTATGCTCTTTTAGAAAATCTCTGCCAATAAATGCCTAGGGAAGACCCAAATTGTAGGGTGTCTCCCTGGGGCAAAGGCATACCCTACTATCTGGAAAAGGGGAAGGCGGGAGCAAGGTAGGAAAGGCCTAATTTCCCATTAGGAACCTGCCTCCTACCTCACGCTGAAGCAAAGAGCACAGCAGGGGGACGGAACAGCCTTAAAGAGTGTGCAGCTCCACCCCTGTCCATTGTCCCCACCAATTGACAGGGTGGGGACAATGGACAGGGACCCACCCAGTTGTGGGTGGGCCAACTTGGCTGCTTTCACTGTATCAGTAGCTCTTCTTGCATCTCCCCTTATGAACTCTCCAGGACTTTAAGATCGTCTGGGGAGGCCCTGCTCTCGGTCCCGCCTTCATCACAAGTATGGCTGGCGGGGATGAGAGACAGGGGCTTCTCAATGGTGGCCCCTCGGCTATGGAACGCCCTCCCTAAGGATATAGATCGGCCCCCTCCCTGCTAATTTTTCAAAAGAGAGTCAAGACTTGGCTCTTTGAGCAGGCATTCCCAAACACAATGTAACAGACATAGGAAAATGGAATGGTCGGATTATGTGATTGGACAATGTTCTTAATAGGAGACTCTAATGCAGTGTTTCTCAACCTGGGGGTCGGGACCCCTGGGGGGGTCGCGAAGGGGTGTCAGAGGGGTCTCCAAAGACCATCAGAAAATACAGTATTTTCTGTTGGTCATGGGGGTTCTGTGTGGGAAGTTTGGCCCAATTCATTGTTGGGGTTTAGAACACTCCTTGATTGTAGGTGAACTATAAATCCCAGCAAGTACAGCTCCCAAATGTCAAAGTCTATTTTCTCCAAACCCCATCAGTGTACACATTTGGGCATATTGAGTATCCATGCCAAGTTTGGTCCAGATCCATCATTGTTTGAGTCCACTATGCTCTCTGGATGTAGGCGAACTACAACTTACAAACTCAAGGTCAATGCCCACCAAACCCTTCCAGTATTTTCTGTTGGTCATGGGAGTTCTGTGTGCCAACTTTGGTTCAATTCCATTGTTGGTGGGGTTCAGAATGCTCTTTCTTTGCAGATTAACTGTAAATCCCAGCAACTACAACTCCCAAATGACAAAATCAATCCCCCCGCCAACCCCACCAGTATTCAAATTTGGGCATACCGGGTATTTGTGCCAGATTTGCTCCAGTGAATGAAAATACATCCTGCAAATCATTATTTACATGGCGATTCATAATGTTAGGGTTATGGTTAGGGTCATCACAACATGAGGAACTATATTAAGGGGCCGTGGCATTAGGAAGGTTGAGAACCACTGCTCTAATGTTTATGTTTTTACTGATATTGTTGTGGTTTTATTATTTGATGGTTTTATTGTATTGATATTGTTTTTTATGGTCTTGGTACCAACTGTAAACTGTCCTGAGTCGCCTGCGGACTGAGAGGGACGGTATAGAAATATAGTAAATAAGTAATTAATACATATTGGCTATTGCTGCCAATAATGACAGTGTGAATAAATTGCTTGCATTTCTGGAAGGATTCATTCAATTTTTGCTTCTCATAGACTTAGCATGGGGATTTGGTTAACCAGTTAAAATTCATGAATAAACTAGTGTTTTTTAACCTGAAAAATTGGGGGTGGGGGTTGAACCCCTAACCCCCCCCCTCCCCCTTTGACTACAACCCTAAGTTCAGGTGCAAGTCAGGTGGTTGAGTCTCCTCCTCTGGAGGTTTTTAAGCAGAGGCTGAATGGCCATTTGTCGGGGGTGCTTTGATTGATTCTGCATGGAAGAAAGGGGTTGGACTGGATGGCCCTTGAGGTCTCTTCCAACTGTAACACGGTTAACATGGTTTAGCATAATGTGCCAATATAACAGCTCTATCCACCCCATCTGGCGGAAAGGGAACCACCTTTGAGTCTCAGCATCATCTCCTGGAAAGCATTGCTGTTCTGGCAAAAATCTCCGTAGCGCTGCCTTATTTCCTCTAATCTCTGAGATGGAGATTCTTCCTCTTCCCTGGGGATGGAAGGAAAGAAAGAAGTGAGGCCACATTTGGGTCGGGCTTTTAATGTTCAGACTAAAACACTGGGAAGATTCACTGACTAAGGGTGCATCTACTATGTAATTCAATATAACTTTATGGTCTGGCTCAATTCGATGAAATCATGGGAGTTGTCATTTAGTCGGGCAGCAGTCGTATTTGGAAGAGAAAGCTATCTAGGGAACTCCATGGGCCAAACTGAGGTGACCATAGGCCTGATCCCTCCTTCTGATGGAGCTGCTCCTTGGATCATATTCCTAGGAAGATGCTAAAACAAAGTAATGGTTGCCTGTTGCATTGCTGTTTCGTTGTCCACCTTCTTTCCCCTTACAAGTGAAGCTGGAGGGAAATGTATTGTCGAAGGCTTTCATGGCCGGAATCACTGGGTTGTTTTAGGTTTTTTCGGGCTATATGGCCATGTTCTAGAGGCATTCTCTCCTGACGTTTCGCCTGCATCTATGGCAAGCATCCTCAGAGGTCATGAGGTCTGTTGGAACTAGGAAAATGGGTTTATATATCTGTAGAATGACCAGGGTGGGACAAAGGACTCTTGTCTGCTGGAGCTAGGTGTGAATGTTTCAACTGACCACCTTGATTAGCATTTGATGGCCTGGCAGTGCCTGGAGCGATCTTTTGTTGAGAGGTGATTAGATGTCCCTGATTGTTTTCCCCTCTGCAGTTATGCTGTTTTAATTTTAGAGTTTTTAAATATTTATTTATTTACCGCATTTATATTCTGCCCTTCTCACCCCGCAGGGGACTCAGGGCGGATTACAGTGTACACATATATGGCAAACATTCAATGCCAATTTTAACATACAACATATACAGACATACACAGAGGCTATTTAACTTTTTCTGGCCTGCCAGGGGAGCTGTTGCTTTCATCATCCATCTGCGACACTGATGAAGTACTTCCGCATTCCCCGCATGCTTTTTTGCTGGAGTGTTTTTTATGGCCTCATAAATTAGTTAATTTAGCCTCCCCACACTTTAAGGTGGTACCTAATTTTCCTACTTGACAGATGCAACTGTCTTTCGGGTTGCAAAGGTCGACAACAGGCTACACAATTGGTTGGAAACCCACTCCAACCTGGGCTGGCTTCGAACTCATGACCTTTTGGTCAGAGTGATCTTAATGCAGCTGACACTCAGCCAGCTGCGCCACAATCCCGGTGTGTTGTGTGTGACCAGAAAAGTCAGCCATAGCAGAGCACCTGATGAACCAACCTGGACACAGCATTTTATTTGAGAACACAGAAATGTTGGACCACACCAACAACCACCATGTCAGACTACACAGAGAAGCCATTGAAATCCACAAGCATGTAGACAATTGCAACAGAAAGGAGGAAACCATGAAAATGAACAAAAACTGGCTACCAGTATTAAAAAAACTCTAAAATTAAAACAACAAAACAGCAGAGGGAAAAAAATGAGGGACATCTAATCACCTCTCAACAAAAGTTTGCTCCAGGCACTGCTAGGCCATCAAATGCTAATCAAGGTGGTCAGTTGAAACATTCACACCTAGCTCCAGCAGATAAGAGTTCTTTGTCCCACCCTGGTCATTCCACAGATATATAAACCCATTTTCCTAGTTCCAACAGACCTCACTACCTACCTACCTCAGCTTGTTTTCTGCTTCCTTGGAGACTAGGACGTGGAAAATGGCTCCAAACTACAAGAGAAGAGATTCCATCTGAACATGAGGAAGAACTTCCTGACTGTGAGAGCCGTTCAGCAGTGGAACTCTCTGCCCCGGAGTGTGGTGGAGGCTCCTTCTTTGGAAGCTTTTAAACAGAGGCTGGATGGCCATCTGTCAGGGGTGATTTGAATGCAATATTCCTGCTTCTTGGCAGGGGGTTGGACTGGATGGCCCATGAGGTCTCTTCCAACTCTATGATTCTATGAGGATGCTTGCCATAGATGCAGGCGAAACGTCAGGAGAGAATGCCTCTAGAACATGGCTATATAGCCCGAAAAAACTTACAACAACCCTGGAGGGAAATGTTTTAAGAAAAAACACCTACCACTACTCTAGGGGAGTGAAGGAAGAAAAACCTCATGATGTTGAAGAAAAATCTACTGCACAGACAGGCAAAAAAGGGGCCATGGAACCAGGCTACGTCTTACCTGCTCTCGATGCTTCCAGCTTCCTACAGGAAAGAGAAGGGAGGGAAGGACATCAAATGTGAGGAGAAAAACCTTGTTGGTTCTTTTTAGAAAATGAAAGTCTAATACAATCAGAAGGCAAAGCAGCATGGGAAGGAACAGGCAGAAAGTATAATATTGCCTAGAATTTCACAGAATTGGATCAACGGGATTCATTGCCACAAGATGTTTCAATACATCAGCGTTTCTTTACCTGGGGGTTGGGAGCACTGGCAGGATGGCCAGGGGGTTTCAGAGGGGTCGCCAAAGACCATCAGAAAACATGTATTTCTGATGGTCTTGGGAATCCCTTTGGCAGAGAAGGCTGAAGATCTCTCCGCCTGTCCTTCTCTTCCTTCTACCAAAAGCCCTTCTCCACTGTGATTGGCAAGCCACTCAGTTGACCTCTCAACAAAGGGAAGGGCTGTTTCAGGGACCACAAGCTGAGAGGGGAGAGTAGGTGTGCTTGTCGCATGGCAGCGTGGTGTACATGTGTGGGCGAGGGAGAGCATGTGAAGCTGGAGGGAGGCTTGCATCAGCAATTCCCTTCAAGGCAGAGAATTCTGTGTGGGAAGTATGGCCCAATTCTATCATTGGTAGCATTCAGAATGCTCTTTATATTGTAGGTGAACTATAAATCCCAGCCACACTCCCAAATGTCAAGGTTTATTTTCCACAATCTCCACCAGGGTTCACATTTGGGCACCGGGATTGTGGCGCAGCTGGCTGAGTGTCAGCTGCATTAAGATCACTCTGACCCAAAGGTCATGAGTTCGAAGCCAGCCCGGGTTGGAGTGGGTTTCCAACCAATTGTGTGTAGCCTGTTGTCGACCTTTGCAACCCGAAAGACAGTTGCATCTGTCAAGTAGGAAAATTAGGTACCACCTTAAAGTGTGGGGAGGCTAAATTAACTGATTTATGAGGCCATAAAGAAGACTCCAACAAAGCATACCAGCGGGGAAGCACGCGGGGAATGCGGAAGTGCTTCATCAGCGTCGCAGATGGACGATGAAAGCAACAGCTCCCCTGGCGGCCAGAAAAAGTTAAATAGCCTCTGTGTATGTCTGTATATGTTTGTATGTCAAAAATTGGCATTGAATGCTTGCCATATATGTGTACACTGTAATCCGCCCTGAGTCCCCTGCGGGGTGAGAAGAAGGGCGGAATATAAAAGCTGTAAGTAAATAAATAAATAAATAAATAAATAAATAAATAAATAAATAACATATCGAGTATTCTTGCCAAGTTTGGTCCAGATCCATCATTGTTTGCGTCCACAGTGCTCTCTGGGTGTAGGTGAACTACAACTCCAAAGCTCAAGGTCAATGCTCACCAAACATTTACATTTACAGTGAAAAATTTCTGACTCTTTAAAAATATTAAGCAATAGATATAAAATGAGACAGGTATACATCTTTTCAAGTATTGGACATGATGCCTGGACTGATGTGAAATTGCCATATCACTGCTGCTTAACTATTTTGAGTTGGCAGGAGGTCCAGACCAAACGCAGCTTGGAAACATACCACAATCTCCTCTCCGCTGTTTTCTCCCTCCTCCTCGTCTCCCATCCTTCTCTGGTCTCCTGTCACTTCTGTATCAATTGACACCTTCAAGGGAAAATAAAGAGTTACTTCTCACTCTCCCCTTCATTTTATTAAAAAGAACCTATATACAGGCAGTCCCCAAGATATGGACAATAAATAAATAAATAATAAATAAATAAATAAATTGTTCTCAAGTTGAATTTGTATGTAAATCGGAACAGGTACATTTTAAAGTGTAATTTTAGCCATATATCTATAGGTAAAGGTTTTCCCCTGACATGAAGTCCAATCGTGTCCGAATCTGGGGTGTGGTGCTCACCTCCATTTCTAAGCTGAAGAGCCGGCATTGTCCATAGACACCTCCAAGGTCATGACTGCATGGAGCACCGTTATCTTCCCACTGGAGCAGTACCTATTGATCTACTCACATTTGCATGTTTTTGAACTGCTAGGTTGGCAGAAGCTGGGGCTGAAAGCGGAAGCTCACCCCGCTCCCCGGATTTGAACCTGCGACCTTTTGGTCAACAAGCTGAACAGCTCAGAGGTTTAACCCACCGGGGGCTCCCCTCTATATCTATATCTGTATCTGTGTCTCTGTCTGTCTATACACACACCCACAAACCATGGTATTTCCTTTGCTGTCTGTGCCCCTGTTTAGAAGATTTCACCTCACTTTTTGTTCTTAGAATCATAGAATCATAGAGTTGGAAGAGACCTTGTGGGCTATCCAGTCCAACCCCATTCTGCCAAGAAGCAGGAATATTGCATTCAAATCACCCCTGACAGATGGCCATCCAGCCTCTGTTTAAAAGCCTCCAAAGAAGATGCCTCCACCACACTCCGCAGCAGAGAGTTCCACTGCTGAACAGCCCTCACAGTCAGGAAGTTCTTCCTATTGTTCAGGTGGAATCTCCTCTCTTGTAGTTTGAAGCCATTGTTCCTTGTCCTAATCTCCATGGAAGCAGAAAACAAGCTTGCTCCCTCCTCTCTGTGACTTCCTCTCACATATTTATACATGGTTATCATGTCTCCTTTCAGCCTTCTCTGCTCCAGGCTAAACATGCCCAGCTTTTTAAGCTCTTATCATTCTTGTGATAATTGTAGTATTTTGAAAAACGTGGTTTGTTGTGGAAACAAGGATTGGAGAGAAAGCTTCAATGGGGACCCTTTTCTCCCATGATAATAACTCTTCCAGGAGTGAATTTCCCTTCCGAGGGGTGGATTTCTCACTCTCTGTTGTCTCACCCCCATTCATAACTATGAGTTATTTGTAAGTCAAATGTTTGTAACTCGAGGAAGGTCTGTCAAAGTCAAAGTATGTGTGTATGTCGGTAACCCCAAAGGTTAACCACCATAGAATCATAGAATCAAAGAGTTGGAAGAGACCTCCTGGGCCATCCAGTCCAACCCCATTCTGCCAAGAAGCAGGAATATTGCACTCAAATCACCCCTGACAGATGGCCATCCAGCCTCTGCTTAAAAGCTTCCAAAGAAGGAGCCTCCACCACACTCCGGGGCAGAGAGTTCCACTGCTGAACGGCTCTCACAGTCAGGAAGTAAATCTTATCAACCGAAGTTCAAATCAGGGTGAGCTCCTGGCCTTTAGCCCAGCTTCTGCCTACCTAACAGTTTCAAAAACAGCAATGTGAGTAGATAAATAGGTACCACTTAGCGATGATGAATTTAAAGCACCCGTAAGAGATGGCACCCAACTCCAAAACTCCAGATGACCTCTCCCAGTGGTTTCATGTAGATGTTAAAAAGTATGGGGGACAGAATGGAACCTTGCGGGACCCCACAGGTCAAAGGCCAGAGGTCTGAGCAGGTGTCCCCCAGCTTCACTATCTGGGAGCGACCCTCCAGGAAGGACCTGAACCACGACAGAGCCGTGCCCCCAAGACCCATCTCGGAGAGTGGTCCCAGAAGGATACCATGGTCGATGGTATCGAAAGCCGCTGAGATGTCCAAGAGAACAAGCAGGGTCACACTCCCCCTGTCCGGTTCCCTACGGAGGTCATCACCAAGGTGACCAACGTGACCAGGCCTAGAGCCAGACTGTGACTGGTCCAGGTAATCAATGTCATCTAGAAATCCCTGGAGCTGAGAGGCGACCAGGCGCTCCAGCACCTTGGCCAAAAAAGGGAGGTTGGAGATTGGCCTGTAATTGCTCAAGACCGTGGAGTCAAGGGAGGCCTTTTTCCGGAGTTATGTGTAACCACATAATGAGGATCAACTATCCTCTGGTTCATTCAGCCACCAACTGATCCTTTTAAAACTGACATTCCTTTTTCCAGAGGCAGTTGGCTCCCCCCTAGCACAAGCCTCCCATCAACTGACATTAACAAACACGTCTAAAACTTACATTTTAATTACACATTTGATCAAGGAGGTCACTGCTTATCTCAGGGGCCGCAGTGGTGTTATGGGTTAAATCCTTGTGCCATTGAACTGCTGACCTGAAGGTTGGCAGTTCGAATCCGTGGGACAGGGTGAGCTCCCATTGTTAGGCTTAGCTCCTGCCAACCTAGCAGTTTGAAAACATGGAAATGTGCGTAGATAAATAGGGACTGCTTTGGTGGGAAAGGCATAAGATGCTCCAAGCAAAGTTTGCCAGTCACACAACCAAAGGTGACAACGCAAGCTCCTTGGCTTGGAAATGGAGAACAACATCTCCCCCTGAGCCAGAGGTGAGCCCTGCCTCCAAAGTTGGAAATGAAAGGAGAAGCCTTTGCCTTTGTTTGTGCTTGTGTGTTTCACTGTATTGTAGCAGGAGCCCTCGGTGGTGCAGTGGGTTAAACCCTTGTGCTGGCAGGACTGAAGACCGACAGGTTGCAGGTTCGAGCTCCCTCTATCAGCCGAATCCGGGGAGAGTGCAGATGAGCTCCCTCTGTCAGCTCCAGCTTCTCATGCGGGGACATGAAAGAAGCCTCCCACAAGGGTGATAAAACACAAAAAAAATTCCAGGCGTCCCCTGGGCAACGTCCTTGCAGACGGCCAATTCTCTCACACCAGAAGCGACTTGCAGTTTCTCAAGTCGCTCCTGACACACACAAAAATGTATTGCAATGAGGCACTGAATGTTTGCTTGTATCTGTTTACACTGTAATCTTCTCTGAGTCCTCCCAGGGAGAAGGGTTTAATATACACAAAGTGTTATTATTATGTTGTTGTTATTATTATTAATCTTGGTTTATGGCTTAAGATGGGAAATGTATGATACACAAACCAACAGGCCATAGTTTGAGTTGTTGTAGGTTTTTCGGGCTATATGGCCATGTTCTAGAGGCATTTTCTCCTGATGTTTCGCCTGCATCTATGGCAAGCATCCTCTGAGGATGCTTGCCATAGATGCAGGCGAAAAGTCAGGAGAAAATGCCTCTAGAATATGGCCATATAGCCTGAAAAAACCTACAACAACCCAGTGATTCCGGCCATGAAATCCTTTGACAAGGCCATGGTTTCTTTTCCCTTCAGTGGACTGTTAATTCCAGAATTCTTCAATCAATACACACTCACAGCCATGCTGCTCTGAGAGAGTCTAGAATCTGGAATCCAAAAGGAAGAAGAAGAAATTTCTTCCCTATAAGCTGTCAAAACTTCATCTGTACCTTATCACTGTTTGGACATTCCTCTTCTTCGGCATCTTCGATGATTAACTCTTCGCTGCTACTCTCCTCCTCCCCATCTTCTTCCGTTTCCAGGACATCCATATGGTTCTCCTTTGATTCCTGGGGAAGGAAGGAGGAAAGGAAAGGGAAAAAAAACCAGCATCTGGATTTTGTTCCAAATCTGAGCACCACAGAGGTTCCTGTGTTCCAAAGGTCTCAATGAACAAAGCAGATGAGGAGACTCAATATCTTGTTGAGTCCCTGCAGTGGCGCAGCGGGTTAAGCTGTTGAGCTGCTGAACTTGCTGACCAGATGGTCAGCGGTTCGTATCCATGGAATGGGGTGATCTCCCACTGCTAGCCCCAGCTCCGGCCAACCTAGCAGTTCATAAACAAGCACATGTGAGTAGATCAATAGGTACTGCCTTGGCAGGAAGGTAAACAGCGTTCCATGCAGTTTTCCCTAGACACCTCCAAGGTCATGTGGCCAGCATGACTGCATGGACCACTGTTACCTTCCCACCAGAGCGATATCTATTGATCTAGTTGGGGACCCCTCCCCCCAGCAACCTGTCACTCTGGGCCAGAGTGAAGAGAGGGGGGCCAGGGAACAGTTCCATCTTGTCTCCTGTGCTATGCTAATAATATAATAATATAATATAATATAATATAATGTAATGTAATGTAATGTAATGTAATGTAATGTAATGTAATATAATATAATATAATATAATATAATATAATATAATATAATATAATATAATATAAATACATGTAATATTTATAATATAATGTAATGCAATATTATACTAATAATAATATATTATAATCATATATTTATATTACATGTAATATTACTAATATTATTCTAATATAACGGTATAGTACAATATAGTAATATTTAATACTGATATTGCACTATGCTAATAATATATTATATTGTATGTATATCTTGTAAGCCGCTCTGAGCCCCTTCAGGGTGAGAAGGGTGGGATATAAACGTCCTAAATAAATAAATAATATTCACATTTGCATGTTTTCAAACTGCTAGGTTGGCAGAAGCTGTCTGCAGACAGTGTGTGGGACTTGAGCATCCACAGATTTTAGTATTCATATATTGTATGTATGCATGTATGTATGTGTGTGTGTGTGTGTGTGTATATATCTTGTAAGCCACTCTGAGTCCCCTTCAGGGTGAGAAGGGTAGCATATAAATGCCTTAAATAAATAAATAAATAAATAAATAAATAAATAACAGTCTCCAGACAGTGTGTGGGACTTGAGCATCCACAGATCTTGGTAATCATATATTGTATGTATGTATGTATGTGTGTTTGTGTGTGTGTGTATATATATATGTATATATCTTGTAAGCTGCTCTGAGTCCCCTTTGGGGTGAGAAGGGTGGCATATAAATGTCGTAAATAAATAATAAATATTCACAACTGCTAGGTTGGCAGAAGCTGGAGCTAACAGTGGGAGCTCACCCTGCTCCCTGGATTTGAACTGGTGACCTTTCGGTCAACAAGTTCAGCAGCTCAGCGGTTTCACCCGCTGCGCCATTGGGGGCTTCTGTTTTAAACACAGTGCCAAAAAACGCCCTTTATTTTAGCCACTACGTGGTAAACAATTAGTATGTACCTTCAATGTACCTATTAACTTATGGTAACCCTATGGATTTCACAGACAAGGCTTTCTCAAAGCATATTCAGAAGTGATTTGCTCTTGCCTTCTTCCAAACAAGGCCTGGTTTTCTATTTTCTACCAGACTCGACCCTGCTTAGCCTCTGAGATGAGATCGCTGTCTGGCGCCAGTGGGAAATGGTGGTTTTATTATTTCTGGGATTTATGAGCTAGCAGTATGTCACTAAATGTCGAAATGTGACTTTACTTCTTAAAGAGCATGGACTGGTCAGAACTAAAGAAACAAGGAGAAAGAGTGAGAGGTCTGTAAATTCGTCTTTATGGCCGTTAGTCTCGTATTAGTACAAATGTTAAGTGCGTATGTCTGTACATCAGTGTGTTTATTTTTTTTGTGTGTTTATATGTTCTTTGTGTTGTCATGGAAGGAAAGATGGAAAACGTTTGGATCTCAAAAGGGTTGGTCTTGGTCAGGATGAGATGGTGGATGGGAGAGACAAAGCGTATCCCCGAGACCATGTATTGCCTACTCCTGATCTAGAATCCTAGAGCTGGAAGAGAACCCCCAAGGGCCAACCAGTCCAGACCCCTGCCATGCAGGAAGGCACAATCAAAGCACTCTCGACAGACAGCCTCTGCAGAAAAGCCTCCAGAGGAGACTCCGCCACACTCCGAGCCAACCAATGCCACTCTCCAATAGCTCTTATTCTCAAGAATCTTTTCAGACACATCTTTTTCCCTGCCACATGAAATCATTGCTCCCGTGTGCCCTGGTTTTCAGATCAGCAGAAAGTCAGTTTCCCCCCTCCCTCCTTTTAAATCTTGAAACATGGCTCTTGACCTTCCCTTTCCAAACATCCCCCAAGAGGAAAGGAGGAAGGTAAAAGAGAAGGAAAGAAGGGAGGGAGGGAGGAGAAAGAGGGAGGAGGGAGGAAAGAGGAAAGGGGGGGGAGGGAGGGAGAAAGAGGGAGAGGGAGGAGGAAGAGGGAGGGAGGGAGGGGGGAGGGAAGGAAGGAGGAAGGGAGGAAGGAAGGGGGAAGGAAAGGGGAGGGAAGGAAGGAGGGAGGGAAGGAAGAAAGGAAGGAAGGAAGGAAGGAAGGAAGGAAGGAAAAAGGAAAGAAGGAAGGAGGGAAAGGAGAAGGAAAGGAGGGAGGAAAGGGAGAGAGAGGGAGGGAGGGAGGGAGGAGGGAAGAGGAAGGAAGGGAAGGAAGGAAGGAAGGAAGGAGAGGAAGGAAGAAGGAAGGAAGGAGGAAAGAAGGGGAAGAGGAAGGAGGGAAGGAGAAAGAGGGAGGGAGGGAGGGAGGGAGGGAGGGAGGGAAGGAAGGAAGGAAGGAAGGAAGGAAGGAGAAAGAGGGAGGGAAGGAAGGAAGAGGAAGAAGGAACAGAGGAAAGAGAGAGGGAGGGAGAGAAGGAAAAAAGGAAGGAAGGAAGGAAGGAGAAAGAGGGAGGGAGGGAGGGAAGGAAGGAAGGAAGAAAGGAAAGAAGGAAGGAAGGAAGGAAGGAAGGAAGGAAGGAAGGAAGGAAGGAAGGAGGAAGAAGGGAAGGAGGAAAGAGGGAAGGAGGGAGAGAGGGAAGGAAGGAAGGAAGGAAGGAGAAAGAGGAACAGAAACAGAAGCCAGTGAAGTGTCTAACACAGGCCTGGGCCAACCGCTCAATTCAACGCATGGCTTACAGACCGGCACCAGTCCATGGACTACCGCTTTGAGAAATACGGCATTATATACCATTCTGGCTTCCAAAATAGAATATTTTTCCTTCCGTTCTCAACAAATCCATTCTCTTCCCCTCTAAACCTACCTGCTTTGGGTCTTCTGCAAACTTTTCCATTCCACCATCCATCGTCAATCTGTGAAGCTTTCCTAGAAAATATGGTGATCCTGTTGGGAAGGAAGTAGAGATAGGAATCAGTTTCCAAAATTGGCTCAAATAAGTAAAATGCCCCTTTCGGTTTTGAAAAACTGCTCACTATAGTGGGATCCACTGGGGTTTGGTTCCCAGGCCCCTGTGGATACCAAAATCTGTGGATGCTCAAGTCCCATTACATACAATGGCATAATAAAATGGGACACCTTGTATAAATGGGCAAAATTATGATTTGATTTTGGGGGATTTTTTTATTTTGCAAAAAAAGAAATAGGAATATTTCCATGTTGCCCCTGAACTCCTCTTTTTGGGATGCAAAGAGTACCTCTGAACATGTGTAGAGTGCCATCGCCCACCCAGCATGGCTGACATCAACACCTACCTGCTTGAAAAAGGAGAAGAAAAGGCAAAATGGGGAAGGAAGAGGATACAAAGGAAAGACCGGCACTTGGATCAAAGAGCCTCAGCTCAGTTTTGGGCCGGACTTCCTTTATTTGTGCCTCTGCGCATGTGAAGAGTGCCATGACCTTTTTTTTTCAAGAATGAGCTGAAAACTGAGTTACGTTTTTGGAAATAAAGAGCATCAAGCAAAGAGTTGGGCCCAATTTCCCCGTTTCTGGAAGAAAAGACTGCCTCTGAGAATGTGCAGAGTGCCAACACCTACCATTCCTTTCCCAAGAAGCAAGCAAGCCGCATCTGTTTGGAAAGGGGGAAGGAAGGCAATCAGAAAAGATCCCAAAGAGGCAAAAATAGAGAAGGAACAGGATACCAAACAAGAATGGAATGAATTTGAGTTAAGTATTTCAGTTCAGAATTGGGATTTTCCACTGTTTTGGAGGGGATGCCTCTAAGCATGTGCAGAGTGCCATCGTTCATCCACCCACCCCTTGTTCAAAGCTGACCTGAAATTTGAGTTAGAGCTCTTCCAGAAAGTCCTGATATCCCAGGACCTGATTCCAGGTTTTCTGATTTAATCTGGATTATATGAGTCCGCACTTCCAGAGAGAGTGCCATCATTCATCCACCCACCCCTTGTTCAAGTCCGACCTGAAATTTGAGCTAGATGTGAGTTAGGTCCCTTCCAGACAGGCCCGATATCCCAGGACCTGATCCCAGATTTTCTGCTTTAATCTGGATTATATGAGTCCGCACTTCCAGATAGAGTGCCATCATTCATCCACCCACCCCTTGTTTAAGGCTGACCTGAAATTTGAGTTAGATGTGAGTTAGGGCCCTTCCAGAAAGTCCCGATATCCCAGGACCTGATTCCAGGTTTTCTGCTTTAATCTGGATTATATGAGTCCACACTTCCAGATAGAGTGCATCATTCATCCACCCACCCCTTGTTTAAGGCTGACCTGAAATTTGAGTTAGATGTGAGTTAGGGCCCTTCCAGAAAGTCCCGATATCCCAGGATCTGATTCCAGGTTTTCTGCTTTAATCTGGATTATATGAGTCCGCACTTCCAGATAATCTGGGATAAACAGAAAACCTGGGATCAGCTCCTGGGATATAGGGCCGGTCTGGAAGGGTCCTTAAAGAGCTTTAGACTCAGAGATGGACCTCATTTCCCTGTTTTCAGAAGAAAAAAGTGCCTCAGAGCATGTATAGAGTGCCATCACCCACCCACCCACCCACCCCTTCATCAAGGCTGACCTGAAATTTGAATTGAATTGGAGCTGGAGAGTTTCAAGTTCAGAGATGGACACGATTTCCTACTGTTTGGGGGGGGGGGGTAAGTCAAGAGGGACTCTGAGCATGTGCGGAGTGCCATCACCCACCCACCAACCCACCCACCCCTTCATCAAGGCTGACCTGAAATTTGAATTAAATTGGGGCTAAAGAGTTTCAAGCTCAGACATGGACATGATTTCCTGCTGTTTGGAGGTAAGTCAAGAGTGACTCTGAGCATGTGCGGAGTGCCATCACCCACCCACCCACTCACCCATCCACTCACCCAACCCTTCATCAAGGCTGACCTGAAAAAGAGTGACTCTGAGCACGTGCAGAGTGCCATCACCCACCTACCCACCCCTTCAAGGCTGACCTGAAATTTGAATTAAATTGTAGCTGGAGAGTTTCAAGCTCAGAGGTGGACACGATTTCCTGCTGGTTTTTTTTTTTTGGGGGGGGGGGGGGGAAGGTAAAGAGTGCTTCTGAGCATGTACAGAGTGCCAATACTTGTTCAGCCCTTCCTTAAGAAGAAAGGCTTGGAAAAGGAGAAGGGGAACAACAAGAAGGCAAAAATAGAGGAGACCCAAGGAGGGCTCAAATTGGGAGTTCAATGGGACTTGGAAATCCCTATATTTTGGGGCAGCCAAGAGTGCCTCTGAGCATGTGCAGAGTGCAATCACCCACCCTTTTCCACCAAGGAGGGCTCAAACTGGGAGTTCAATGGGACTTGGGAATCCCTATAATTTGGGGGAGCCAAGAGTGCCTCTGAGCATGTGCAGAGTGCAATCACCCACCCTTTTCCACCAAGGAGGGCTCAAATTGGGAGTTCAATGGGACTTGGGAGTCCCTATATTTTGGGGCAGCCAAGAGTGCCTCTGAGCATGTGCAGAGTGCAATCACCCACCCTTTTCCACCAAGGAGGGCTCAAATTGGGAGTTCAATGGGACTTGGGAGTCCCTATATTTTGGGGCAGCCAAGAGTGCCTCTGAGCATGTGCAGAGTGCAATCACCCACCCTTTTCCACCAAGGAGGGCTCAAATTGGGAGTTCAATGGGACTTGGGAGTCCCTATATTTTGGGGCAGCCAAGAGTGCCTCTGAGCATGTGCAGAGTGCAATCACCCACCCTTTTCCACCAAGGAGGGCTCAAATTGGGAGTTCAATGGGACTTGGGAGTCCCTATATTTTGGGGCAGCCAAGAGTGCCTCTGAGCATGTGCAGAGTGCAATCACCCACCCTTTTCCACCAAGGAGGGCTCAAATTGGGAGTTCAATGGGACTTGGGAGTCCCTATATTTTGGGGCAGCCAAGAGTGCCTCTGAGCATGTGCAGAGTGCAATCACCCACCCTTTTCCACCAAGGAGGGCTCAAATTGGGAGTTCAATGGGACTTGGGAGTCCCTATATTTTGGGGCAGCCAAGAGTGCCTCTGAGCATGTGCAGAGTGCAATCACCCACCCTTTTCCACCAAGGAGGGCTCAAACTGGGAGTCAATGGGACTTGGGAATCCCTATATTTTGGGGCAGCCAAGAGTGCCTCTGAGCATGTGCAGAGTGCAATCACCCACCCTTTTCCACCAAGGAGGGCTCAAATTCGGAGTTCAATGGGACTTGGGAGTCCCTATATTTTGGGGCAGCCAAGAGTGCCTCTGAGCATGTGCAGAGTGCAATCACCCACCCTTTTCCACCAAGGAGGGCTCAAATTGGGAGTTCAATGGGACTTGGGAGTCCATATTTTGGGGCAGCCAAGAATGCCTCTGAGCATGTGCAGAGTGCAATCACCCACCCTTCAACCTTCAACCTGCTTGGAAATGGAATTAAGAATAACAAGTTCAATGGGACTTGGGAGTCCCTATATTTTGGGGCAGCCAAGAGTGCCTCTGAGCATGTGCAGAGTGCAATCACCCACCCTTTTCCACCAAGGAGGGCTCAAATTGGGAGTTCAATGGGACTTGGGAGTCCCTATATTTTGGGGCAGCCAAGAGTGCCTCTGAGCATGTGCAGAGTGCAATCACCCACCCTTTTCCACCAAGGAGGGCTCAAATTGGGAGTTCAATGGGACTTGGGAGTCCCTATATTTTGGGGCAGCCAAGAGTGCCTCTGAGCATGTGCAGAGTGCAATCACCCACCCTTTTCCACCAAGGAGGGCTCAAATTGGGAGTTCAATGGGACTTGGGAGTCCCTATATTTTGGGGCAGCCAAGAGTGCCTCTGAGCATGTGCAGAGTGCAATCACCCACCCTTTTCCACCAAGGAGGGCTCAAATTGGGAGTTCAATGGGACTTGGGAGTCCCTATATTTTGGGGCAGCCAAGAGTGCCTCTGAGCATGTGCAGAGTGCAATCACCCACCCTTTTCCACCAAGGAGGGCTCAAATTGGGAGTTCAATGGGACTTGGGAATCCCTATATTTTGGGGCAGCCAAGAGTGCCTCTGAGCATGTGCAGAGTGCAATCACCCACCCTTTTCCACCAAGGAGGGCTCAAATTGGGAGTTCAATGGGACTTGGGAGTCCCTATATTTTGGGGCAGCCAAGAGTGCCTCTGAGCATGTGCAGAGTGCAATCACCCACCCTTTTCCACCAAGGAGGGCTCAAATTGGGAGTTCAATGGGACTTGGGAATCCCTATATTTTGGGGGAGCCAAGAGTGCCTCTGAGCATGTGCAGAGTGCAATCACCCACCCTTTTCCACCAAGGAGGGCTCAAATTGGGAGTTCAATGGGACTTGGGAGTCCCTATATTTTGGGGCAGCCAAGAGTGCCTCTGAGCATGTGCAGAGTGCAATCACCCACCCTTTTCCACCAAGGAGGGCTCAAATTGGGAGTTCAATGGGACTTGGGAGTCCCTATATTTTGGGGCAGCCAAGAGTGCCTCTGAGCATGTGCAGAGTGCAATCACCCACCCTTTTCCACCAAGGAGGGCTCAAACTGGGAGTCCAATGGGACTTGGGAATCCCTATATTTTGGGGCAGCCAAGAGTGCCTCTGAGCATGTGCAGAGTGCAATCACCCACCCTTTTCCACCAAGGAGGGCTCAAATTGGGAGTTCAATGGGACTTGGGAGTCCCTATATTTTGGGGCAGCCAAGAGTGCCTCTGAGCATGTGCAGAGTGCAATCACCCACCCTTTTCCACCAAGGAGGGCTCAAATTGGGGGTTCAATGGGACTTGGGAGTCCCTATATTTTGGGGCAGCCAAGAGTGCCTCTGAGCATGTGCAGAGTGCAATCACCCACCCTTTTCCACCAAGGAGGGCTCAAATTGGGAGTTCAATGGGACTTGGGAGTCCCTATATTTTGGGGCAGCCAAGAGTGCCTCTGAGCATGTGCAGAGTGCAATCACCCACCCTTTT